GCCTTACATACCTGGCTCCTCGAATGACGGCTTCCCTTGCATTCTAACACCAGTGAGGGCTACGGGTGGGCGGCGTGAGGACCATCAAGTTCTTTCACTAAAAGTCCCACCATTTGCCTTTCTTTTGCATAATGGGAGATAAGAGGGAGCAACGGAGAAAACGGGGCCAGGCCGATGCGGAGCTGGGACGCGACTCTCAACGTGACACGGCTATCACAGAGAGCAGCTACAAGCGGGGTGCGGGCGCACCGCTCAGCGAAGTCACATTTACCAGAGCATTGGAGGGTTTGAAACGGGACATCTGCGACAAGCATGACTGCAAGATTGATACAGTTAGCCATACACCGCAGTCAGAAATGTCATCTGCGAAGGCTGAGTTTAAAGCTGCAATAATCACCTTACAGGCCACCGTTAATGCTCAAGCAACCACCATTAGAGATCTGGAGCTTTCAGCTACAACTTGCAGTGACGACCTCACATCTATGGTGTTATTTTTGTGCCACTATTCTGAGCGCACGTAAAAAAAATAGTTTGCAGGTGCCAGTGTTGCATTTTGAGGAGAAATTTATTTTGAGCGAAAAAAAATTCATTGCTGCGTGCAAAAAATGTATTTCCGTGTTTGCTATTATCCACACACACACAACAGCAGCCCCTCTCGCTCAGTTTTTGCATTTGCGCTTGCTCGCAATGTGTTGCTCGCACTCTCAACATTTCAACATTTCTCTACACCGTTATATTTGTGCCACAAAACCAGCCAATCACAGACTTGGATGCAAAAAATTCTGATTGGCTGTTTTGGTCTCCAATCAGCTTGTTAGCTGCTGTAGCTAAACCCAGGCAAATATCCCAGAATGCATTTCATCCAAAACTCAAAGGAGGCAGTGGCGGAGGAACACAGAGGGGCGGAGTTTGAAATATTACTCTTTCTGGGTCACAAACTTTGTTTCTGTGTAAACTTCAAATATCTGCTCGATTCATCAAGACGTCACATATTTGCATAAGTGCTCTAATGTTTTCGGAGATGCCTGTTACCCACCCACTAACCCTGACCCACTAACCCTAACCCGGCTATTAAAATGGCATGGGAGCAGGATTTGCGGTGTGTGATTCAGGAAGACTGTTGGGATAAAATTCTTTACCGGGTCCATGGCTCCTCATTATGTGCCAAACACGGGTTGATTCAATGTAAGATTTTGCACCGCGTACACTGGACTAAAGCCAGACTAGCTCCAATATACCCCAACCTTAGCCCTGATTGCGACTGCTGTCATCAAACACCTGCCTCTCTAATACATATGTTTCGGTCATGTCCATCCCTCAAACAATACTGGATTAATATTTTTCTGACTCTATCAAAGATCATCCAGCTAACCCTCCAACCCGGGCCCTCAGCCCCTTTGTTTGGGGTTCTTCCTGATACAGTTGTCGTGCCGACGCCCCAGGCGGATTTGGTAGCATTTCTCACCTTATTGGCAAGACACAGAATATTGTTATGTTGGAAGTCCCCTTCTCCCCCATCCTGGGAAATCTGGATCAGTGGGTCTGTGGTAAAATCTTTTAAGATCTGGCAACCCTTTTTTGATCATGTGCAGACTTTGCGGTCCCGTAACACTCCCAGTTAGCCAGCTCAGACTTTATTCTATTTTATCTTGTGTTTAACTATACAGACTCTATTGTGCCTGCACTTTATGATG